CGAGAGCTCCCGGCTGCCGCCAGGGGCTGCGCTCGTGCCTTCGCCGCCTGGCCTGCTGCGCCCCAGGTCCAGCGGTTGCGGCCGCTCGACAGCGCTGCCTCCCGCGCCCCGCCCTCCTTCCTGGAGGCGGCCGCTGCGCTTGCCGCTGACGGGCTTGTCTTGCCGCCCGCCATTGGCTCCCGCGCGCCTCCTCTGGCCGCCCGGGCCGCCCTCCCCCGCGCTGCTGGGTGCCCTGCCCAGCCGCTGCGTCCCCTGCCCCGCCGCCGGCTGTGGCCCCTACCTCAGCTCTCTGCCACGCCTCCCGCGGGGCTGGCCGACCTTGGCCGCCTCTGGTTGGGCCATCGCCTCGCCTGCCTGGTTTTCCAGGATGGCGTTTCGCCCGCGCGCCGGCCGCCCAGGTTGGCCGTGCTCGCTGCAACGCAGCCGTGGCGCTGCCCGCCCCCCCTCCGCGCCTCGCAGGTCAGCAGATCTCGGCGTCCATCTGCCCCAGTCGCCGCTCTGCACCCCTACACGGGGGGTACTATAGTTTTGACCATAAGACGTCATGCTGTCGACGCCCCCTGCCCCCCCGTAGAATCTTAGCGACATGTTTTGGGTCGGGCGGCGGTTCGACTCCGATGGGCTCTCACCCTGTAAGAATATAATAGTATATATTAAAAACAGGGTGATAATTACTCCGTCCCATTTACAATAGGGCCGGAAAACACTCCGACTTGAACCCATTCACAGTAAACCACTCCGCTTGGGTCACGTTTGATCCTCCGTGTCATCATCCCCATCGACCCTGTCCTTATCATGCCAACGCGATTTTTCATTGTATTCCTTGTTGCATTGATGCTGTGAGACCCTGGGCATCCTTCTCCAATGCGGTCGCTCTCGGTTCACTGGTTGGCCGTCCCAGAGGGCCCACAAAGGCTCGCGAATCCGCATCAAGGCACCTTTGCATCCTGATCGGTCCTCCGCGGCACGCGTGACCAGCGAGGCAATTCTCATCTTATGGTCAAAAACTTTAGTACCCCCGAAGGGCAAAATGGGTTCTCGCCGCCGCCAATCATCATCGTCATCTCCATCATCTTTGCAGCCGCTTTGGCTCAAGACCTTAGCAAGGATTTGCTCTGCTGTTGGTCATGGGGTTGACTGGCGCAGTGCAAGCCCGGAGGGCTTTGGTGAAGTTGTTCCTCACGGTTGCTGCGGCGTACTCGGTTGTGGTTCGCCTCCACAAGGACTCCCAGGACAGCGAGGTGATCGCAGCCTTTCGAAAGGTGCTCCGCAAGGCGCGCCCGGACAAAGGGCGGGGCAGACGAGCACGCGAAACAGCTGAACGCCGCGAAGGAGCGTTGGGACAGGCCAAACCGAGGGGCCGCCCGAAACGCGCAGAGCAGCCCGAGGCGCCTGCAGGGGCGGCCGCTGCTGACGGCGCGCCTGGCGAAACCTTCCAGGATCTGATCGTCCGGGAGGTCTCCAAGAAAACCTACCGCATCCAGTCCGCGGGCGTGCTGCTCACGTACTTCGGGGTGCAGGGCCTGCCGCAGTGGCGGCAGTTTCTGGCGCGCGTGCGCTCGAAGCAGAAGGCTTGGAAGGTGCGGTACTGGTGCGCGACGCTGGAGCGGACGAAGACGGGGCGTCTGCACGTCCACCTCATGCTGCAGTTCACGCAACCTGTGGACAGGACGAGCCGCAGCTTCGCCTTCAAGGGGTGGACGGGCCCGAGAGCAGACGCGAACGACTTGCTAGGCGGTGGCTTTTGTCGGAAACGGCTGCAGGACAGCCTCAACAGGGGCATGTTCTATTGCTGGGCAGATAAGTTGGGCACGGTCAGGGACGAGGAAGGCCGGCAGTGCACGGGCGGCAACTACGAGCCCGCCTGGACGGACGCAGCTTGCACCTACACCGTGAAGAGCCGGTGGGCGCAGGACTTGTGGCAGGCGTACAAGCTCTCGCACGGCACCTACGACGGTTACCTCTACAAGACACGGGACGGGGTCTTAGCGAAAAAGAGGAACCTTGACGCTTGCAGAGAGCGAGAGGCACGGGACAAGCAGACAGCGGAGATCGAGGCAAGGACCAAGAGGCTCCGCGGGAACAAGGACCTCTTCCCGGGCTTCCCCACGGTGCCCGACGCTGTGGCGTGGCTAGAGCAGTTCAAGGCCCGTTGCGGCGCGCAAGCCAGACAGTACCACTGCCGCCCGCCCTTCTGCGGGCAGCTGCGGCGCCTTCCGGGGCGTCTTCGGCGCGACCGTGGAAGGGGCGGGGGTAACGGCGTTGTCCAGAGTTTGCGCTGGCGCGCCCACATGTGGACAACTCACAGTACCCAGTCTTGGTGGTCCTCGGCAGGTCGCACGCAGGGAAGACGGAATGGGCCCAGACCTTGTTCCAGAACCCTTTGGTGGTGAAGGTGGGCAAGCTCGAACATTTCCCAGAGTCGATGAGGGCCTTCGACAGGGGGAAGCGCGACGGGCTGGTCCTCGACGACCTGAGGGACTTGCAGTTCTTGGTGGGCCACCAGGACAAGGTCCAAGGCAAATGCAACTCGCCCGTCGAATTTGCTTCCACTCCGGGCGGCGAGTTGGCTTACTGGAAGGACTTGTTCGCAGTTCCCGTGGTCGCCACCTGCAACTACACCACGAAGAACCTCGGGTTCTGGACACCGACGACTTCTTGGCGAACCCAGGGGACCGCACGTTGGTGCACTTCCCGCCTGACACGCAGCCAGACCAGCCACCGCCCGCACCTCCACCCGCGCCGACCCGGAGCCTTAGGTACCGCGCTAAGGCGCCGCCGCACCAGCCGCCAGCCGCGCTTTGACTCTCAGGGGTTGCACGAGAGAAATGGCTTGCGCACCAGGTCGACTCCTGGATTTCTGGGCACAGTTGTTGGGGGGGCTTGTGTTCTAGGAGGAACTTTGTTCGTCTGTAGGCACAGCCCGCCTGGCGAGAGAGGCACCAGAAAATCGTATTTTCCCGTGGGAAAACTGCAATTCTACGCATGGGGGCTGATGCAGAAGCAGAGTGCGAGCGACGTCCAGTGATGCAATTCCGTGGACTGTGCCGCGCCGTGCCGCGCCGTGCCGTGCCGTGCCGTGCAGGTTCGTGCTGCGACGGACCGTGCCGTGCCGTGCTGCGCCGTGCCGCGCGGCTCCGTGCCGTGCCGTGCCGTGCCGTGCCGTGCCGTGCCGTTACGCGCGGCGCCGCGCCGCGCCGCGTGCCGGGCCGCGCTGCGCCGTGCCTTGCGAGTGCCGCGCGGCGTCGCGCCGCGCCGTGCCGCGTCGTGCCGTGCCGCGCAGTGCCGTGCGGCGCCGTGCCGCGCTATGCCATCCCGTGCCGCGCCGCGCCGCGCCGTGCCGTGCGGCGCCGTGCAGTGCTTGGCCTTGCCGCGCCGTGCCGCGCCGCGCCGTGCCGCGCCGCGCCGTGGCGTGCCGCGCAGTGCCGCGCCGTGCCGCGCCGCGGCCCCGCGCGGGGCCGCGCGGCGACGCGTCGCCGCCTCGCGGCCCTCTTCATCTCCATTGCCATTGCCGCAGCTTCCCAGGCTCAAGCCTTCCTGCCGCGCGGGCCACTGCGCGCGCGGGAGACGGGCCCCAGATGCCGTCGTCAGCGAGATGCGGCATCCCAAGGGCTTCAGTTTCCAGCAGGAGCGCAGGATCGTACTTCTCCGCGAGGCCACCCAGAGCGACGGCAGCCACGTGGAGTGGTCGGAGATCGCGAAGAAGGTGAAGAACCTCTTGGGCAAGAGGCCACGACTACGACACGTGGCGAACACGTGCCGCCGGGCCACGGCGCGCCGCAGGCCCCTCAAGTACGATTACAAAAAGTGCGGCAAGAAGCCGGACAAGGTGACAGAGGAGGTGGAGCGTTTCTTGGTGAAGAAGCTGAAGGAGTTGCGATGCCGCACCGCATGCACGTCGACTACGTTGCAATTTCTTTTGGCTTCCGAAATGAAAGTCAAGGTTACGGTGCGCTACGTGCGCAAGGTCCTCTCGAAGAAAGGCTTTCGCTGGTTACCCAAGAGGCAGAAGTGGTTATACTCCAAGGATCAGAGGAAAGCCCGCCTGACGTTTGCGAAGAAGGTCCTGAGGATGACTTCGGCGGAGCTGAACACGGCTTTGGCATGCGCCATGGACGGCGTCATCCTTGCGATGCCCCCGAAGGACGAGACCGAGCGGATGAACTTCTGCAGGCGCGGGGAAGAGTACATGTGGCGAAAGGACACGGAGGCATTCACCCCGAAGCTCCCTGGCGACGACGAGTACGGTGGCCAGGTCCCACTGGCTCGGGCAGTGCCCATGTGGGCCGGCTGCGCCGCTGGCGGGCTGTCCATTGTCGCGTTCCACCCCACGAAGAAGCTCTGCGGCGAGGACTGGGCGAAGATCGTGAACCGGGGCGACCTCGTGAAGGCCGTGAAGTCGGTGAACCCGAAGAGGCAGAAGGGCCCGTGGTCCGTCCTCTGCGACAGCGAGTCTTTCTTGCGGGCGAAGGTCAGCAACGCCGCGGTGGAGGCGGCGGGGGTTAAGCTGTGGAAGATGCCAGCAAAGTCCCCTGACTTGAACCCCGCAGAGCGGTGCTGGTCTTGGCTGCGTCGGAAGCTGCGGCTCATGGACTTGGGCGACGCCGTGAAGAAGCGGCCCGTGCTGGGGAAGACGGCGTACAGGGCGCGGGTTCGGAGCGTCGTGAAGAGCAAGAAGGCGCAGTCCGTGGGGGCGGCGCAGGCGAAACTGATGAAGCGCGTCTGCAGGGAAGTGGTGCGCAAGATGGGCGCGGCCACGGGCTTCTGAGCGGGCCAAGCCCCCGGGCCGTATTGGCGCGTGCACAGGTGGACAACTCATCAGCGTCGGCCGTTTGCCGCGCGGGTGAGCACTCCATCTGCCCTGGCCGTTGGCCGTGCAGATGAGAAAAGTCCGCAGGGCAGAATGGGTTCTCGCCGCCGCCAATCATCATCGTCATCTCCATCATCTTTGCAGCCGCTTTGGCTCAAGACCTTGGCAAGGATTTGCTCTGCTGTTGGTCATGGGGTTGACTGGCGCAGTGCAAGCCCGGAGGGCTTTGGTGAAGTTGCTCCTCACGGTTGCTGCGGCGTACTCGGTTGTGGTTCGCCTCCACAGGGGCTCCCAGGACAGCGAGGTGATCGCAGCCTCTCGAAAGGTGCTCCGCAAGGCGCGCCCGGACAAGGGCGGGGCAGACGAGCACGCGAAGCAGCTGAACGCCGCGAAGGAGCGTTGGGACCAGGCCAAGAAACCGAGGGGCCGCCCGAAACGCGCAGAGCAGCCCGAGGCGCCTGCAGGGGCGGCCGCTGCTGACGGCGCGCCTGGCGAAACCTTCCAGGATCTGATCGCCCGGGAGGTCTCCAAGAAAGCCTACCGCGTCCAGTCCGCGGGCGTGCTGCTCACGCACTTCGGGGTGCAGGGCCTGCCGCAGTGGCGGCAGTTTCTGGCGCACGTGCGCTCGAAGCAGAAGGCTTGGAAGGTGCGGTGCTGGTGCGCGACGCTGGAGCGGACGAAGACGGGGCGTCTGCACGTCCACCTCATGCTGCAGTTCACGCAACCTGTGGACAGGGCGAGCCGCAGCTTCGCCTTCAAGGGGTGGATGGGCCCGAGAGCAGACGCGATCGACTTGCTAGGCGGTGGCTTTTGTCCGAAACGGCTGCAGGACAGCCTCAACAGGGGCATGTTCTATTGCTGGGCAGATAAGTTGGGCACGGTCAGGGGCGAGGAAGGCCGGCAGTGCACGGGCGGCAACTACGAGCCCGCCTGGACGGACGCAGCTTGCACCTACACCGTGAAGAGCCGGTGGGCGCAGGACTTGTGGCAGGCGTACAAGCTCTCGCACGGCACCTACGACGGTTACCTCTACAAGACACGGGACGGGGTCTTAGCGAAAAAGAGGAACCTTGACGCTTGCAGAGAGCGAGAGGCACGGGACAAGCAGACAGCGGAGATCGAGGCAAGGACCAAGAGGCTCCGCGGGAACAAGGACCTCTTCCCGGGCTTCCCCACGGTGCCCGACGCTGTGGCGTGGCTAGAGCAGTTCAAGGCCCGTTGCGGCGCGCAAGCCAGACAGTACCACTGCCGCCCGCCCTTCTGCGGGCAGCTGCGGCGCCTTCCGGGGCGTCTTCGGCGCGACCGTGGAAGGGGCGGGGGTAAGGGCGTTGTCCAGAGTTTGCGCTGGCGCGCCCACAGGTGGACAACTCACGGTACCCAGTCTTGGTGGTCCTCGGCAGGTCGCACACAGGGAAGACGGAATGGGCCCAGACCTTGTTCCAGAACCCTTTGGTGGTGAAGGTGGGCAAGCTCGAACATTTCCCAGAGTCGATGAGGGCCTTCGACAGGGAGAAGCACGACGGGCTGGTCCTCGACGACCTGAGGGACTTGCAGTTCTTGGTGGACCACCAGGACAAGGTCCAAGGCAAGTACAACTCGCCCGTCGAATTTGCTTCCACTCCGGGCGGCGAGTTGGCTTACTGGAAGGACTTGTTCGCAGTTCCCGTGGTCGCCACCTGCAACTACACCGCGAAGAACCTCGGGTTCCTGGACACCGACGACTTCTTGGCGAACCCAGGGAACCGCACGCTGGTGCACTTCCCGCCTAACACGCAGCCAGACCAGCCACCGCCCGCACCTCCACCCGCACCGACCCGGAGCCTTAGGTACCGCACTAAGGCGCCGCCGCACCAGCCGCCAGCCGCGCTTTGAGTCTCAGGGGTTGCACGAGAGAAAAGGCTTGCGCACCAGGTCGACTCCTGGATTTCTGGGCACAGTTGTGGGCGGGGCTCATGTTCTAGGAGGAACTTTGTTCGTCTGTAGGCACAACCCGCCTGGTGAGAGAGGTACCAGAAAATCGTATTTTCCCCGTGGGAAAATTGCAATTCTACGTATGGGGGCTGATGCAGAAGCAGAGTGCGAGCGACGTCCAGTGATACAATTCCGTGGACTGACGCGCCGTGCCGCGCCGTGCCGTGCCGTGCCGTGCAGGTTCGTGCTGCGACGTACCGTGCCGTGCCGTGCTGCGCCGTGCCGCGCGGCTCCGTGCCGTGCCGTGCCGTGCCGTGCCGTGCCGTGCCGTTGCGCGCGGCGCCGCGCCGCGCCGCGTGCCGGGCCGCGCTGCGCCGTGCCTTGCGAGTGCCGCGCGGCGTCGCGCCGCGCCGTGCCGCGTCGTGCCGTGCCGCGCAGTGCCGCGTGGCGCCGTGCCGTGCTATGCCATCCCGTGCCGCGCCGCGCCGCGCCGTGCCGTGCGGCGCCGTGCAGTGCTTGGCCTTGCCGCGCCGTGCCGCGCCGCGCCGTGCCGCGCCGCGCCGTGGCGTGCCGCGCAGTGCCGCGCCGTGCCGCGCCGCGGCCCCGCGCGGGGCCGCGCGGCGACGCGTCGCCGCCTCGCGGCCCTCTTCATCTCCATTGCCATTGCCGCAGCTTCCCAGGCTCAAGCCTTCCTGCCGCGCGGGCCACTGCGCGCGCGGGAGACGCGCCCCAGATGCCAGTCGTCAGCGAGATGCGGCATCCCAAGGGCTTCAGCTTCCAGCAGGAGCGCAGGATCGTACTTCTCCGCGAGGCCACCCAGAGCGACGGCAGCCACGTGGAGTGGTCGGAGATCGCGAAGAAGGTGAATAACCTCTTGGGCAAGAGGCCACGACCACGACACGTGGCGAACACGTGCCGCCGGGCCACGGCGCGCCGCGGGCCCCTCAAGTACGATTACAAAAAGTGCGGCAAGAAGCCGGACAAGGTGACAAAGGAGGTGGAGCGTTTCTTGGTGAAGAAGCTGAAGGAGGTGCGATGCCGCACCGCATGCACGTCGACTACGTTGCAATTGCTTTTGGCTTCCGAAATGAAAGTCAAGGTTACGGTGCGCTACGTGCGCAAGGTCCTCTCGAAGAAAGGCTTTCGCTGGTTACCCAAGAGGCAGAAGCGGTTATACTCCAAGGATCAGAGGAAAGCCCGCCTGACGTTTGCGAAGAAGGTCCTGAGGATGACTTCGGCGGAGCTGAATACGGCTTTGGCATGCGCCATGGACGGCGTCATCCTTGCGATGCCCCCGAAGGACGAGACCGAGCGGATGAACTTCTGCAGGCACGGGGAAGAGTACATGTGGCGAAAGAACACGGAGGCATTCACCCCGAAGCTCTCTGGCGACGACGAGTACGGTGGCCAGGTCCCACTGGCTCGGGCAGTGCCCATGTGGGCCGGCTGCGCCGCGGGCGGGCTGTCCATTGTCGCGTTCCACCCCACGAAGAAGCTCTGCGGCGAGGACTGGGCGAAGATCGTGAACCGGGGCGACCTCGTGAAGGCCGTGAAGTCGGTGAACCCGAAGAGGAAGAAGGGCCCGTGGTCCGTCCTCTGCGACAACGAGTCTTTCTTGCGGGCGAAGGTCAGCAACGCCGCGGTGAAGGCGGCGGGGGTTAAGCTGTGGAAGATGCCAGCAAAGTCCCCTGACTTGAACCCCGCAGAGCGGTGCTGGTCTTGGCTGCGTCGGAAGCTGCGGCTCATGGACTTGGACGACGCCGTGAAGAAGCGGCCCGTGCTGGGGAAGACGGCGTACAGGGCGCGGGTTCGGAGCGTCGTGAAGAGCAAGAAGGCGCAGTCCGTGGGGGCGGCGCAGGCGAAGCTGATGAAGCGCGTCTGCAGGGAAGTGGTGCGCAAGATGGGCGCGGCCACGGGCTTCTGAGCGGGCCAAGCCCCCGGGCCGTATTGGCGCGTTCACAGGTGGACAACTCATCAGCGTCGGCCGTTTGCCGCGCGGGTGAGCACTCCATCTGCCCTGGCCGTTGGCCGTGCAGATGAGAAAAGTCCGCAGGGCAAAATGGGTTCTCGCCGCCGCCAATCATCATCGTCATCTCCATCATCTTTGCAGCCGCTTTGGCTCAAGACCTTGGCAAGGATTTGCTCTGCTGTTGGTCATGGGGTTGACTGGCGCAGTGCAAGCCCGGAGGGCTTTGGTGAAGTTGCTCCTCACAGTTGCTGCGGCGTACTCGGTTGTGGTTCGCCTCCACAGGGGCTCCCAGGACAGCGAGGTGATCGCAGCCTTTCGAAAGGTGCTCCGCAAGGCGCACCCGGGCAAGGGCGGGGCAGACGAGCACGCGAAGCAGCTGAACGCCGCGAAGGAGCGTGGGGACCAGGCCAAGAAACCGAGGGGCCGCCCGAAACGCGCAGAGCAGCCCGAGGCGCCTGCAGGGGCGGCCGCTGCTGACGGCGCGCCTGGCGAAACCTTCCAGGATCTGATCGTCCGGGAGGTCTCCAAGAAAGCCTACCGCATCCAGTCCGCGGGCGTGCTGCTCACGTACTTCGGGGTGCAGGGCCTGCCGCAGTGGCGGCAGTTTCTGGCGCACGTGTGCTCGAAGCAGAAGGCTTGGAAGGTGCGGTGCTGGTTCGCGACGCTGGAGCGGACGAAGACGGGGCGTCTGCGCGTCCACCTCATGCTGCAGTTCACGCAACCTGTGGACGGGACGAGCCGCAGCTTCGCCTTCAAGGGGTGGACGGGCCCGAGAGCAGACGCGAACGACTTGCTAGGCGGTGACTTCTGTCGGAAACGGCTGCAGGACAGCCTCAACAGGGGCATGTTCTATTGCTGGGCAGATAAGTTGGGCGCGGTCAGGGGCGAGGAAGGCCGGCAGTGCACGGGCGGCAACTACGAGCCCGCCTGGACGGACGCAGCTTGCACCTACACCGTGAAGAGCCGGTGGGCGCAGGACTTGTGGCAGGCGTACAAGCTCTCGCACGGCACCTGCGACGGTTACCTCTACAAGACACGGGACGGGGTCTTAGCGAAAAAGAGGAACCTTGACGCTTGCAGAGAGCGAGAGGCACGGGACAAGCAGACAGCGGAGATCGAGGCAAGGACCAAGAGGCTCCGCGGGAACAAGAACATCTTCCCGGGCTTCCCCACGGTGCCCGACGCTGTGGCGTGGCTAGAGCAGTTCAAGGCCCGCTGCGGCGCGCAAGCCAGACAGTACCACTGCCGCCCGCCCTTCTGCGGGCAGCTGCGGCGCCTTCCGGGGCGTCTTCGGCGCGACCGTGGAAGGGGCGGGGGTAAGGGCGTTGTCCAGAGTTTGCGCTGGCGCGCCCACAGGTGGACAACTCACGGTGCCCAGTCTTGGTGGTCCTCGGCAGGTCGCACACAGGGAAGACGGAATGGGCCCAGACCTTGTTCCAGAACCCTTTGGTGGTGAAGGTGGGCAAGCTCGAACATTTCCCAGAGTCGATGAGGGCCTTCGACAGGGAGAAGCACGACGGGCTGGTCCTCGACGACCTGAGGGACTTGCAGTTCTTGGTGGACCACCAGGACAAGGTCCAAGGCAAGTACAACTCGCCCGTCGAATTTGCTTCCACTCCGGGCGGCGAGTTGGCTTACTGGAAGGACTTGTTCGCAGTTCCCGTGGTCGCCACCTGCAACTACACCACGAAGAACCTCGGGTTCCTGGACACCGACGACTTCTTGGCGAACCCAGGGAACCGCACGCTGGTGCACTTCCCGCCTAACACGCAGCCAGACCAGCCACCGCCCGCACCTCCACCCGCACCGACCCGGAGCCTTAGGTACCGCACTAAGGCGCCGCCGCACCAGCCGCCAGCCGCGCTTTGACTCTCAGGGGTTGCACGAGAGAAAAGGCTTGCGCACCAGGTCGACTCCTGGATTTCTGGGCACAGTTGTGGGGGGGGCTCATGTTCTAGGAGGAACTTTGTTCGTCTGTAGGCACAACCCGCCTGGTGAGAGAGGTACCAGAAAATCGTATTTTCCCGTAGGAAAACTGCAATTCTACGTATGGGGGCTGATGCAGAAGCAGAGTGCGAGCGACGTCCAGTGATACAATTCCGTGGACTGTGCCGCGCCGTGCCGCGCCGTGCCGTGCCGTGCCGTGCAGGTTCGTGCTGCGACGTACCGTGCCGTGCCGTGCTGCGCCGTGCCGCGCGGCGCCGTGCCGTGCCGTGCCGTGCCGTGCCGTGCCGTGCCGTTACGCGCGGCGCCGCGCCGCGCCGCGTGCCGGGCCGCGCTGCGCCGTGCCTTGCGAGTGCCGCGCGGCGTCGCGCCGCGCCGTGCCGCGTCGTGCCGTGCCGCGCAGTGCCGTGCGGCGCCGTGCCGTGCTATGCCATCCCGTGCCGCGCCGCGCCGCGCCGTGCCGTGCGGCGCCGTGCAGTGCTTGGCCTTGCCGCGCCGTGCCGCGCCGCGCCGTGCCGCGCCGCGCCGTGGCGTGCCGCGCAGTGCCGCGCCGTGCCGCGCCGCGGCCCCGCGCGGGGCCGCGCGGCGACGCGTCGCCGCCTCGCGGCCCTCTTCATCTCCATTGCCATTGCCGCAGCTTCCCAGGCTCAAGCCTTCCTGCCGCGCGGGCCACTGCGCGCGCGGGAGACGCGCCCCAGATGCCAGTCGTCAGCGAGATGCGGCATCCCAAGGGCTTCAGCTTCCAGCAGGAGCGCAGGATCGTACTTCTCCGCGAGGCCACCCAGAGCGACGGCAGCCACGTGGAGTGGTCGGAGATCGCGAAGAAGGTGAAGAACCTCTTGGGCAAGAGGCCACGACCACGACACGTGGCGAGCACGTGCCGCCGGGCCACGGCGCGCCGCGGGCCCCTCAAGTACGATTACAAAAAGTGCGGCAAGAAGCCGGACAAGGTGACAAAGGAGGTGTAGCGTTTCTTGGTGAAGAAGCTGAAGGAGTCGCGATGCCGCACCGCATGCACGTCGACTACGTTGCAATTGCTTTTGGCTTCCGAAATGAAAGTCAAGGTTGCGGTGCGCTACGTGCGCAAGGTCCTCTCGAAGAAGGGCTTTCGCTGGTTACCCAAGAGGCAGAAGCGGTTATACTCCAAGGATCAGAGGAAAGCCCGCCTGACGTTTGCGAAGAAGGTCCTGACGATGACTTCGGCGGAGCTGAACACGGCTTTGGCATGCGCCATGGACGGCGTCATCCTTGCGATGCCCCCGAAGGACGAGACCGAGCGGATGAACTTCTGCAGGCACGGGGAAGAGTACATGTGGCGAAAGAACACGGAGGCATTCACCCCGAAGCTCTCTGGCGACGACGAGTACGGTGGCCAGGTCCCACTGGCTCGGGCAGTGCCCATGTGGGCCGGCTGCGCCGCGGGCGGGCTGTCCATTGTCGCGTTCCCCCCCGCGAAGAAGCTCTGCGGCGAGGACTGGGCGAAGATCGTGAACCGGGGCGACCTCGTGAAGGCCGTGAAGTCGGTGAACCCGAAGAGGAAGAAGGGCCCGTGGTCCGTCCTCTGCGACAACGAGTCTTTCTTGCGGGCGAAGGTCAGCAACGCCGCGGTGAAGGCGGCGGGGGTTAAGCTGTGGAAGATGCCAGCAAAGTCCCCTGACTTGAACCCCGCAGAGCGGTGCTGGTCTTGGCTGCGTCGGAAGCTGCGGCTCATGGACTTGGACGACGCCGTGAAGAAGCGGCCCGTGCTGGGGAAGACGGCGTACAGGGCGCGGGTTCGGAGCGTCGTGAAGAGCAAGAAGGCACAGTCCGTGGGGGCGGCGCAGGCGAAGCTGATGAAGCGCGTCTGCAGGGAAGTGGTGCGCAAGAAGGGCGCGGCCACGGGCTTCTGAGCGGGCCAAGCCCCCGGGCCGTATTGGCGCGTTCACAGGTGGACAACTCATCAGCGTCGGCCGTTTGCCGCGCGGGTGAGCACTCCATCTGCCCTGGCCGTTGGCCGTGCAGATGGGAAAAGTCCGCAGTATTTTGGTGTGGTCCTCTTCGGCTGTCTGTCACGTGACATGCCAATTTCTCCGTGCGCTGCCGTCTGCTGCTCCCCATGTCCAGCCCCCCTCTGGTTTCGCCATCGCGGGCTGTTCAGTCACTCGGCAGGTCAGAAGATCTCAGTGCTTGCTCTTCACATGTCTTGTTTTCCCCCCCTGGGCTCTGCCCGGCCGCCGTCCGGCTGCCTCCCCCCCCAGCAGCTGCCTGGCGCCGCCGCTGGCCCCTGCCCCAGCGCCCGCCCCGCCGCCGCTGGGACTTGCCTGAGTGGCCTGGCTTCCTCTCCCCCCGCCCGCGCCGGGCATCTCTATCTTCGTCTTGTGCACCGCGGCCCAATTTGCATTTGCGCCCCACTAGTGCCACATCGCCGGACCAGCAACATCTGCCCAGCCGCCGACGCAAAACACGTGTGTACGCAGCACCCTGCAATTGCGGATAAGAGTGAGGGGCGGGCGCGGGCGACGCGGGCGTCGAGCCGGCGGACCTCGTGGCCTTCACCTTCCCTGTCGATGGCGCCCTCCTCCTCCTCCACCTCCTCCGCCTCCTCCGCCTCCTCCTCCTCCTCCTCCTGCTCCTCTTTCTCTTTTTCCTCTTCCTCATGCTTTGCGTGCTCCGACAAGTTTAGCGCGGGGGGGATCGCTGGTGGGCCACCTGGAACGAATGCAAAGACAGCCCGCCGCAGGCGCGGAATCTTTGGCTTGTTCATTGAACGTAGAGTGGGTCGCGGGTGGGTCGCGGGCTCTCCACGTCCACCTGGGAGGAATTCAAAAACAGCCCACCGCAGGCGCCGAACATTTTGATTTGTACACTGAACGCGGTTGGGTCGCAGGTCCTCCACCTGGAACGGATGCAAAAGAAACCCGCCGCAGGCGCCGAAGTTTTGGCTTGTTCAGTGAACGTATTTTTGGTCGCGGGTGGGTCGCGGGCTCTCCACCTCCACTTGGAAGGAATTCAAATACAGCCCGCCGCAGGCGCCGAAATTTTTGATTTGTACACTGAACGCGGTTTGGGTCGCGGGTGGGTCGCAGGTTCTCCACCTGGAACGAATGCAAAAGAAACCCGCCGCAGGCGCCGAAAATTTTGGGTGGGTCGCGGGGTGGGTCGCGGGTGGGTCGCGGGTGGGTCGCGGGTGGGTCGCGGGGTGGGTCGCGGGGTGGGGGCGGGTGGGTCGCCGGTGGGTCGCGGGTGGGTCGCGGGGGGGTCGCGGGGTGGGTCGCGGGCGGGTCGCGGGGTGGGTCGCAGGTGGGTCGCGGGTGGGTAACGGGTGGGTCGCGGGGTGGGTCGCGGGTGGGTCGCGGGGTGGGTCGCGGGTGGGTCGCGGGTGGGTCGCGGGGTGGGTCGCGGGGTGGATCGCGGGGCGGGTTGCGGGCAAGACGACGACAACAACAAACAACAAACAACAAACAACACACAACAAACAACAACCAACCAACAACTCACAACACACACCAAACAGCAGGCAACAAACAACAACCAACAAACAATACACCTCAAACAACAATCGACAAACAACAACAACGACAACAACAACTCTAACAACAACAACAACAATAACAACACCAACAACAGTAACAACAACAACAATAACAAAAACAGCTGCAACAACAACATCAACAACAACACCAACAACATCATCATCAACAACAATAATATACATCGCGGAATTCCACTTCAGCCACGCACCCAAGGACAGTGAATGACCGTTCGTTTCAGCCCCATCACTCTGATTTTTTGTTTTTCGCAGCCACCGGGGTTGTGAAGCTCCAAGATTTTTTGTTTTTCGCATCTATTGGGGCTTTAAAGCTTCAAGATGGCTTCCTGATCGTCTAAGAGAGCCCCATCAGAATCCCAACGCGGGCCGAAGACAGTCCAACAGGCCTCTGAGACGGCCTGATGACAACCCAGGATGCCCCCCATACGCCCCAAAGAGGCTTCAGAAAGATTCCCAAGAGAGCCCCAAGAGGGACAAATCATACCAATCCCTCTGGAAAGCGCGCATTTCAGCATAATCAGTTTTATGGTACCACCTATAGTGCACCACGTGGGCTGCACCACAACAATTGTTCCGCATAAACTGCAAAAAAACACTTCGTCGGGTCCACGTCGGCTAATATAATTATACACGTTTTGAAAGGGCGTTGAGCCTGCATGGCGGAGCCGTTGCTGTCTCGGTTCTTTGTTATGCCGAACTTCCATCGTGTGTGCCGAGGTTTTGTTTGTCCTCCGAGTGCACGAGGTTTAAATCTCTTTTCTGCGTTGCCGCCGCCTCGTGCAGCGTACGAGCCAGCTCGTCCTTCGGACAAAACCGGTGAGTTGTTCCCGGTGTGCTGGCGTGATTTGTACGCGTTGAGTGCCGCTGGGCCGTTATAATATCTTTTATACATATATATATACACAGGGGAACAACAAGTGGCATAAACATAAAACGGAGGTCCGCGCGGATTTCTCGGATCGGCGCTGGGGCTCCCCGGCGGCGCCTCCGGTGCCGCCCCTGGCGCGCTCCGCGCGCCAGGGAGGGGGTCCAGCGCCGATCCGAGAAATCCGCGCGGACCTCCGAGTTTTTATGTTAATGTCTCTTTCTGTTCCCCATATATATGTAATATCTCTTTATACGTATCTATATATATATATACACCTATATATATAATAGATACATCTAGATGACTTGCGTCACGCATAAATAGGTGGGTGCGTTCGCGCCACCTGTGCGCGCGGGCCGCGACCCCCGGCCACGGGCAGAGCCGACTCTTCCGAGCTGTGCCTCCTGAGTGGATGCTGTGTTCAGCGGCGGAAAAAAACGTCGGTCGGGCCCCTGGAAGTCTACTCTTCGGAGGTTGATAGACCTCCCACCCTGACACGTCGATTAGTGAGTTGGCCGTTTTCGGTTCGCGAGAGGGCGTCGCGGCCGTTATCTTTGCGGGTCCAGGTCCGTCGGTTTCGGTCCTAGGCCGTTTTCGCTAAAGGGAGGTTTACTGAAGGGAGGTTTGTGCCCCGCCGAATGTTCGTGAATGTCGGCGGCGAGCGAGGGGGGGAATTGAGAAGGGGCGGGCCTTCTCAGAAGTCTCGGAAGTTCCGCGGCCTTCTGAGAAGTTTCCTGAGCCTTCCCCGAAGACAGAAAAAACTTCTCAGAAAGCGCGAGGGCTTCTGAGAAGTCCCGCCGCCTTCTGAGAAGGCCTCCCCCCTCGCCCGCCGCCTAGAATGGTAGCGGGGGCGGAGGCCGTGTCGTCTAGAACAGCACCGCCCGGGCCGAGTCGCTCGGGGAACCGCGTTCCCGACCCCAGGGGAGGGGGGGGGGGCGGGGTGATGTTTTCCCTCGCAGGAGTCGGGCGAAGAGAACTATGCACATGCACCGATCCTGGCAAGGCCTATCCTTGACCCAGGATCGGTGCATATGCCTTCCTGGCCAAGGTAGGAGGGCGTATGCACCGATCCTGGGCTCAGGATGGGCCTTGCCAGAATCGGTGTATGTGCATAGTTAATTTTTCCTCTAAGGAGAGGGAGGGAATTGCGAAAGACATGGCGCGAGAAAGCGAACGCGCGTGTTGAGGCACGTCGATGGGCGGCGGGTCCCGTTTTTCATGCCGAACTGGCGCGCCTCGTGGCCAAGCCAGGCCGCATTGGCGCCACGTTTCGGGTGTTGCGCTCTCCGATCCGTGGATGTGGCGCACGAGCGGTGGATCGGAGAAGCCGAATACAGTGGGGGCGCGCATCAAGAAACCATCTGCTTTTCGTCAGGGTACCCTGGGTTTCTTTTCTCTGCGCGCTGCGCGGTGGCTTGTCGTGGCCGTTGAAGGAGCTGCTGCGTTCGGGTTGCTCTGGGCTCCCCTTGATTTGCACCTCGCGCCTGCGGGTTTCAGGGCTGGGTTTCTTGCGAGGGTTTCTTGCGGCCGCGCCCGCATAGTAGGGGATCATGAAAGACATGGCTCGCTAAACCATCGATGCCCAGAGGGCCAGCTGACTTTTGACGTTTCGCATATCCCGGTCACTGCATCGTGGATCGATCGCCAGGCGCGCTGCTCTGACCAAAGAGGAGAGATGTATACGGTGACAGAGAGGGTGTAGCCGTTGGTATCTGACCTTGGTAAGCTGAGGGGCCTTCGCAGGGGCGCCGCGAAGGTTTTTAAGGTTCACCATTGGAATCTTCGTGAATAGCGGAAGGGCGCGAAAGATTGAGGCGTCATCCATTACAGCTCTTCGGGGACTTTTCCAAGGGAGACTAACAGAGAGCCTGATGGAGGCTTCTTGGAGGCTGCCTGGCGCTGTCTTGATATGCGTTTGGGAACATTTTGTGTTTTGCTGGGGCTCTTGTGGCCGTGCTGGGTACGTTTTGGACTGTCTGAGGGCCATCCTGGAATCTTTCGATCAAAGCAGAGGAGGTCCTGACTACGACCACCCCCGTTGGCACTCCTGTGCTTTTGGAGGCCAGCGTGACCCTTGTGGAGCCGTTCTGAGCAGCTCTTGCGGCTGTCTTGTGGCTTTTTCGGTGGTTATCTCGAGGCCTGAAAGTCCACCTGGCGCAAGATGGACCTCAGTCGGACGCTATTAAACAGTTCAGGTTCGTGTGACTGACTGTAGCTCGTCGGTTTGGGAGGTCTCTGGCCTCGTCGGTCCGTTTTGAAGAATTCAAAACGCTTCGCGTATCCCCACCAGTGTCATACCGCCCCTTGGACTTTTCCTTGCGGGCCGCTAATCAAAAAAAGTATCCCCACCAGCCCATCCAGAAACGATGTCCAGGCGAGTTGAGGTGATCAGGGAAGTGCGGGAGCAAAGAGGGGGACGGCCGAACTGTGCGAGGGAGGGAGGAGGAGGAGGCTGGATGGATGGATGAGGGAGTGAGGGGAAGAAGGATGATTAGGATGAGGAGGAGCAGCTGCACGCCCCTGCAGAGCAGCTGCACGTCTCAGGCGAAACTAGTTTCCACCTTCCTGCGGCTGTTAGCTGCACCCTACCAGCGGACCAGCATGTCTCAGGCGCGAAGCACTCCCCCATCCATCCGCTGCTGTCAGCTGCACTCCGGCCGGGCAGGTGAAACCTTTTCCCACCATTCTGCGGCTGTTAGTTGCACCCCCGCTGGGCACCGTTATGTCTCAGGCGGAACATTTCCCCTTCAGCAACCGCGGCTGTTAGCTGCACCCCCAGGGCCGTGGGCTGGTCACTGGAGATACTGGCGCGGGCACCCACCCTCCTGCGGCTGTCAGCCGCCTCCCTGAAGCTAATCGAGCTCCTGGCGGCTGTCAGCTGCCTTTCTCTGCCGGGCGCCTCTGGACCCTGAGCCCCCCCAGGGCACGCGGGGCGGTAGGTCCCCCTCACCCGGTCGGCCTCGCGCTGGCACTGGAGACGGCCGTGGGTACTGCTACTCGGTCCTCAGTGAGGGCGCTGTCGGGCTTCCACTTGCTCGTGCTGCCGTCGTCCACTCCTGGGTTCTGCAGCCGCCTGGTCATTACCAAGCATCTGCATTCGATGATTGGATTGGTTCTGAGGTCATCTGTCGCCTACTTACGGCAATTACATCGAGTACCGCAAAATCAGGGTGGTCCCCTACTTGTTCCTCTTCTGAGTTGCGGCTTTTCTTTTCTTCTTCTCGCTCCTTCGGCCCTCTCTTGCCGTCTTCTCTTCTTCGCTAGTTTTGTCTTCTTCGCTCGTGTCGCCTTCTCCTGCTTCTCCTCGTTTTCGCCGCTCTTGCGCTGCCTCTGCGTAGTGGCCTTGCATTTTTTCTCGCGTCTGGCCGGCGACAATTGCGCCGTGACCACCCGCCTCCGCTCGTAACGTGACCTTTTCCGATGCCGCGCGGGTGCCCGCTTGCGGTCGCGATCAAAAGTGTCCCCGCCAGCCCATCCAGAAACGATGTCCAGGCGAGTTGAGGTGATCAGGGAAGTGCGGGAGCAAAGAGTGGGACGGCCGAACCGTGCGAAGGAGGGAGGAGGAGGAGGCTGGATGGATGGATGGATGAGGTAGTGGGGATAATGAGGATGATTAGGATGATGATGACGCTGATGATGATGACGATGATGATCCTCATGGTGATGATGATGGTGATGATGGTGATGATGGTGATGATGGTGATGATGATGATGCTGCTGATGATGATGAGGAGGAAGACGATGATGATGATGATGATGATGATGATGATGATGATGATGATGATGATGATGATGATGATGATGATGATGATGATGATGATGATGATGATTGATGATGATGATGATGATGATGCTGGTGATGATGATTTGATGATGATGATGATGATGATGATGATGATGATGATGGATGAAGAGGAGGAGGAGGAGGAGGAGGAGGAGGAGGAGGAGGAGGAGGAGGAAGGACAAACAGGAGGAAGAGGGCAAGCGAAAGGGCCAGAAGTCTCTTGGATGCCTCTCGGAGCCTCTTGTGGTATCTCTTGGGCGTTTCTTGGTGACCTCGTGGGACGTCTTGGGGGTCTCTTGGCGGTTTTCAGGGGCTCTGGGGCGTCTTGAGTGCCTCGGGGGGGCCGGTCGGTGTCTTGTTGGGGGGCCTCTTGGGGGCAATCTGGGGGCCGTCTTGGGACCTTGGGGCCGTCATGGAGGGGATCGATCAAAGAAGAGGGTTTTTTTTTTTAGCGCTGCCCCCTTCAAGAGGCCAGAATGGGGCCAAAACCATAGTAACACCAATGATTTTGGTTTCCTCGCCGAGGCCGTTTTGGACGCCCTGACCGCTCGCGACCGGCCCCGTCCAGGTCCAGTGGAGGGTGTAGGGGGGAGGGGTCAAGCCACCCGCCCGCCCGCAAGCCGTCTAGCTCACTCCCATCCGCCCTCCCTGCACATACGTAGCACCCGAGCCGAGCATGTTCAGCGGTCGTTTTTGAATGGACAGCTATTGGGAACCAAAGTTGATTTGAGGTGCGCGACGCTTGGGCGATGTGCTCCACGCGTGCCAGGGGCGCCACGCGCGCCAGGCACCCCTGGGGCCCGAGCGTGCCAGGCACGCCTGTCGCGTCAGATGCGCTACTCGCTCCGAGTGCGCCAGCTGCGCCGCAAATTCCAGCCGCGCCAGTTGCGCCGCGTTCGGGGCACATGCACACTGCGTCAGGTGCGCCTGCGCACGTGACAACACAGATCGCGAAACATGTCGGCCTTCGCCATCCTTGTGGAAACCGATGCCCGTCGTTGTGTCTTGTGGGCCTGAGCACAGCAGGCCACGCGCCACCACCCCCGCCGTCCTTGTGAAAAAACCACTTGACAGTGGTCGCGGGATGGCCGCGCATGATCCAGATTTAGCCGCGAGGTACATGATCAGGGATGTTAGCTTTGCGAGCAGCATGGAACATGCGGACACCCCCGCCGACTTTGTCAAAAACAATATAAAGTCGTCGCGGGCTTCACGAACATGATTCAAGACTTTACCTCAAAGTATACTTCGCATTTTTTTTTTCGACAGGGATGGTGTGGGGGGGCCGCATCGGGTTGGCCGCGCATGCTCCAAATGTGGAGGCAGAGTGCGGGTTGTATTGTTTTTGACAGGGATGGTGGGGGGCGGGTCGGCATGGTGTCGGCATGGTGTCGGCATGGTGCCTGGTTGGTCCCTGGTCGCCTGGGGGAGTGGATGTATATTAATAAGGAAGAGTGACGAACCCCTCCCCGAAGGGGAAAAAGGGGGTGGAAGAGGAACCTCCTTGAACCACTTACGCCCAGAGGGCTGGTGGGACTGTTGGTCTCCCTCGGAGCCTCCCAAGATCTCCCCGAGTTGGGCCGTGCCACTTTACAATCAACTCGCATAACCATACATTTCGGAAGCAATCGCGGATTTCTGGAATCGGCGTTGGACTCTCCTCCTCGCCATCCCTGGCGGCTCCGGTGGAAGCGCCGACCCGAAAAGTCCACGCCATGTTGTTCAGTCTAGGCTTATTTCTGCGCTATCTCGGGGTCTGTTGGGGCTATCCTGGAGACATTTCGGGGCCAGGCGGACCTTCTTCACCTCGCACCCGCTTCCAGACTGATGAGATGGAGGTTGCAAGTTCACAGCAGAGCGGCCACAAGATGTCTCGTCCACTCCCACCCGCCCTCCCACTGTACAAGCAACACCCGAAACTTAGCGTAGACAGTGGTCAGTGGTCGCTAACCACTGGGCAGCCATTGGGAACCAGTTCAGACGCAAGGTGCGCCACGCTTGCAGGGCGCTCGCGCGCACGCGCCCCGGGGACGCTTGGTGCGCCTGGCGCGCTACGTGCGCCCCGTGCGCCGCGTGCGCCGCGTGTGCCACGTGCTCCAGTCGCGCCACCACGTGCGCGACGCGCGCAGGGTGCGCTGAAGGCGCCAGCGCACGCGACTGCACATTGGGCAACATGTAGGCGCCCCTGCCGCCCCTGCCAAACTCAGGCGATCGCAGACATGGATCAAGGGGGCGTGGATCAGCGACGGGTCCCGCTTCCATGGCATGGGAGGTTGCGGAGTTCCGCCGCCGAACGAGGCGGCACTGGCCGCATTCTGGGGAGGGCACTTCCCCGATCCGTGGCTCTGGCGTCCGCGCGCCAAGTCCATGGATCGCCAATCCATGTTTAGGGGGCCACATGCGAACCCTACCCCTACCCCACCACGATTTCTGAGAGGGGGTAGGGGTAGGGTTCGCATGTGGCCCCCTAGTGTTGGCGCCTCCCCGCCAAGCGCGGCTGCAGCGTGCCGGCGGGGTGTCTGGCGTCGCGCACGGCGCGCGGAGCCCTCAGCCGCGGCCGCACGGGTGCAGGCGAGGACTGCTGGCCACGCGCCACGTCCCCCCTGCCGCCCTGCTCGAGAGCCGGAGTCCAGCGCAGCGGTCGTCGTCGGGGGGCGGGGAGGAGGAGGAGGAGGAGGAGTGAGGAGGAGAGGAGGAGGAGGAGGAGGAGGAGGAGGAGGAGGAGGAGGAGGAGGAGGAGGAGGAGGAGGAGGAGGAGGAGGAGGAGGAGGAGGAGCGGAGGAGGCGGAGGAGGAGGAGGAGGAGGAGGAGGAGGAGGAGGGAGGAGGAGGAGGAGGAGGAGGAGGAGGAGGGGAGGAGGAGGAGGAGGAGGAGGAGAAGGAGGAGGAGGAGGAGGAGGAGAGAGGAGGACAGAGGAGGAGGAGGAGGAGGAGGAGGAGGAGGAGGAGGAGGAGGAGGAAGGAGGGAGGAGGAGGCAGGAGGAGGAGGAGGAGGAGGAGGAGGAGGCGGAGGAGGAGGCGGAGGCGGAGGCGGAGCGGAGGCGGAGGAGGAGGAGGAGGAGGAAGGAGGAGGAGGAGGAGGAGTGGAGGAGGGGAGGGAGGCGGAGGCGAGGCGGAGGCGGTGGGACGGAGGCGGAGGCGGAGGGGCGGAGGCGGAGGCGGATGGAGCGGAGGCGGAGGCGGAGGCGGAGGCGGAGGCGGAGGCGGAGGCGGAGGCGGATGCGCGGAGGCGGAGGAGGAGGCGGAGGCGGAGGCGGAGGAGGAGCGGAGGCGGAGGCGGAGGAGGCGGAGGCGGAGGCGGAGGCGGAGGCGTGGAGGCGGAGGCGGAGGCGGAGGCGGAGGCGGAGGCGGCGGAGGCGGAGGCGGGGCGGAGGCGGAGGAGGAGGCGGAGGCGGAGGCGGAGGCGGAGGCGGAGGCGGAGGCGGAGGCGGAGGCGGAGGCGGAGGAGGAGGAGGAGGAAAAGGAGGAGGAGGAGGAGGAGGAGGAGGAGGAGGAGGAGGAGGAGGAGGAGGAGGAGGAGGAGGAGGAGGAGTCGGGAGTCGGAGTCCCCCGCGGCACTTGGGCCGATGCTCCGTGGCGCGGGGCCGCGGGGGAGATCGCCGTGGTCGGGCTGGCCGCCGCTCGCGGGGGCACGTCGGCCACCACTGGGAGAGAGCTGTGGTTCGTGCCCCCCCGGGGGGGCCCCATCGGCCTCGAGCACCGTGCCTCGGCGCCTCGGCCCGGGGAGGAGAGGCAGAGGCGGCGGGCCTTCTCTCGGCAGGCTCAGAGGGCATCTGGTCTTGCGACGTTCCAGCCTGCTGTCGCCCCGACTGCCAGAAAGAATCTCCTGCAGCAAGGGAGTGCCGAAGCTTGAGGGCTTTCACGTGTCGGGCCCTGGGAGGCGATACTCGTTTCGACACTCTTTCGACACTTTTCCGGGTGCTCGGAATTATTTCTGGGATGTGGTCCTTAAGTACGATGGGAGCAACGTAAATCTGGTCTTCTGAGAAGCCTTCTGAGCCTTCTCCGAAACCACAGGGCCTCTCAGAGCTGCTGAGAAGCCCCGCTGCCTTCCGACAGGACCTGCCCCCTCTCACTTCCCCCCCGCGGCGCGCCAGCGAATCCCGATAGCTCATCGGTACGGTGGGTTCCCCCAGGGTTGTAAGGAGCACAGTTCACCCAGTTGAAGTCTGGTCGGGTGGACGAGGGTACGTGTACAATACACTGACCCTTGTTTGTGGCTCACGGGAGAGAGCTGGGATACGGAGGAGAAGGAGGAGGAAACGGAGGAGTAGAAGGAGGGGCAGTCAAGACAGCGCTATGTAGAATCATCCGATCATCGCTTCCTTGCACTGCGTGGCCCGCTCGCGGTGTACTCATTCGTGTACGCACTTCGGCGCGCGGACGTCCTTTTGCGGTTCCCTAGCGTCGGGAAGGAACAGCGGCAGCCCTGCACCGAAGAAGAGAAACGGTGCACGGAAGCGGCGACTCTCTAAACCACGTGCACCTTGTGTTGTAATTGGTTGAGGGGGCGCAAAGGGCCCCTATGTTAACACAAATCAGGGTACGGACAAACATTCGAGGCCGACGGTTGTAGAACGTTCAAGTTCAATGCTGCGATAATCCCTGAGACCGGAGAGAGTTTGGATAAAGTTCGGCGACGAATATGTTCACATATCCAGAGCGCGTGTGGACTTTTTGTGAACTCCCGACTTGATTTTGAACTTTTCCGAACTTGTTTCGTTTTGTTGTTGTTGTTGTTGTTGTGGTGGTGGTGGTGGTTGTTGTTTTTTTGAGGGGGGGGGGAACTTTTCCAGATGTTGCAACATATGTCGAAATTGTTTCGATTTTTTTCCGAACTTTATCCAAACGCTGCTACAACATTTGTACAGTTGTTGTTCCCCCCCTGCACCTTCGAAGTTGTTTCAAACTCTTCCTTTCCCTGGTCTCCGAACTCGAACTTCTTACTCTCCCCCCCGCCCGAACCCAGGCCCTGACTCCACTTGTTTTCCAGGAAGGTCGGAGGTGGATAGACCTCCCACCCTGACACGTCGATTAAGGAATTGGCCGTTGTCGGTTCGCGAGAGGGCGTCGCAGCCGTCATTTTTGCGGGTCCAGGTCCGTCGGTTTCGGTCCCAGGCCGTTTTCACTAAGGGGCGGTTTGCTGGAGGGAGGCGTGTCCACCGCCGAGAAGGCCCATCTCTCCCCCCTGCACCGTCGGAGTTGTCTCAAGCTCTTGCTTTCCGCCTCCTCCCGCTCCTCCTCCTCCTCCTTCTCCTCCTCCTCCTCCTCCTCCTCCTCCTCCTGCTCCTCATCCCGAACTCGAACTTCTTACTTCCCCCCCGCCCGAACCCAGGCCCTGACTCCACTTGTTTTCCAGGAATGCCCATCTCTCCCCCCATCAGCCACTTGCAGGCCCAGTGGCCGGCGGGACAGCGGGCGAGGCGAGCGCTCCGCGCCGCTGGCCCCCGCCCCCCCCGCCGCCGCGCAGGAGACCAGCGTGGTCTACCTCCTCGACAACGACAAGCGAGATGAGCCGTCCCCTGTTCTCCTTGGCTTATGATGTTCCTAGCTACTTTAGCCTTGACCACCAGAAAGAATTTCGAGCGCCAGACAAGTACCCCCAAGCTCAAGGGTTTTCACGTGTCGGGCCCTGGGAGACACTCTTTCGACACTCTTCCGACGCTCTTTCGATACTCTGCTGGGTGCTCGACATTATTTCTGGGATGTGGTCCCTAGGTACAATGGGAGCGACATAATCCTTGCCTACGATCTTGCTCCTCTCGGGCCGAGCGAAAGGGGGGGGGATTAGGGAAAGGGGGGCTTCGAACCCGCGAACGCGTGGGCGGATTACAGCAGCACGTGCCGGCTTGCCCGCGCACGGACTTGCCTGTCTTGAGAGGAGTAGGAGGAGGAGGAGGAGGAGGAGGAGGAGGAGGAGGAGGAGGAGGAGGAGGAGGAGGAGGAGGAGGAGGAGGAGGAGGAGGAGGAGGGAGGGAGGGAGGGAGGGAGGGAGGGATGGAGGGAGGGAGGGAGGGAGGAGGGAGGAGGCGGAGGAGGACATGTGTTTTGGCAGCGGGAGGCTTTGGGCCAACCTTGGAAGTGATGTGCCCTGAGGGCCAGTCTGGGAGCTCTCTGTGCGGACCTTCTGTGCGGACTGCATGTGGCATCTGACATCATCTTTCGGGCTCGGCTGGAGTGCTCTGGGGTGGCGGGAATGTGGGCCACCTCCTCTCTTCCGTTACTCCGCTCTCCCTGCTTCCCCCTCTCCCATCCCCTTCCTCCACCCCCTGTTAGAGAGGCTTCACGGTCGGTTCAGCCGACCCGAGGGGCTATCAGGAGGCCCTGGGAAGGCCACAAGGTCGGAAACTGGAACATATACATTACCAGTGGCGGGTTTTGTTTCAATCCCACGACTTTTCGAGGGTCAGGGACGACGTCGGGGTGGTGTCGTGTTTTTGTTCCTTCGTTTTCCAAGGGAAACAACGAAACATGTATACACCAGGATCCCGTATACACCATAATCAGCGTTCCTGTGCGCATTTCAGTGCGGGGCTGGAAAAAGCGTCGGTGTATATAGAGTTCGGCTCCGTACAAGGGAGCCCGACGAGCGCACGAAGACAGGCCAACGACCATCCCGGAACAGCTCGAAGAATACCCCCTGGGACCTGGGACTAGAGAAGACACAGCACACCGCGTTACCTCCAGCTGGCCAATGCGGCTCTCTGCCCGGGGTCGTGGACCAGAGGTTTTTTTGCATGCAGAAGGGTCTACACTGGGGTGCCCCTCGGAGGCCTCTCTCGGAGGGCTCTCTTCCGTCCTCTGGCGAAGGGAGACGGCATGAGCATACGCTTTCGCTGCTTCGCGCGGACTTCTAGGAGCGGCGCTGGACTCCCCTGGCGCGCGGAGCGCGCCAAGGGCGGCGCCGGAGGCGCCGCTAATGGGGGCGCATCGCCCATCCCAGAAGTCCGCGCGGACCTCCGACAGTTCCTCGCCGTGTCTTGTTCGCCTAGTTCGCGCAGTTCCTAGTTCGCCGTTTTTTTCGCCTAGGATGTTCGCCTATGATGTTCGCCGTTCCTAGTTCCTAGTTCCAAGTTCCTGGTTCGCCTGTGATGTTTTTGCCGTTCCTTGTTCGCTTTGTTCCTCCGCGCTCTCTCCTTGCCCCTCACCTCCTGCTCTGCCTTCTGCTGCTGCCGCGCTCCCGCCCCTGCTTCTCGCCCATCCTCCCTGCCCTCCTCCCCCTGTTCCTCGGTCCTCCTCGCTCGTCGCTCCTCCTCCTCCTCCTCATTCCCCCTTCTCCCCCTCCTTCTCCTCCTCAATTCCTTTTCCTTATAATTATCTCTCTCCTGTCGCACCCTGAAGCTGGTCGAAAGGGCGGGCCAGGCGCTTCGCCGGAGTTTTCCTCACCAGTTATGACCCTGAAGCTTGAATATTGGCAACAGTTTTTCAGATGGAGGGCGGGCCGCTTCCAAAATGTGGCTCTCGCCGCAGCGCCGCGCGCATTCGTTGTAACTCATTGGAAGAACTTCACGTATTGAGGGCGGGTCGTTTTCAATATGTGGCTCTCACCTTAGCGCCGCGCACATTTGTTAAACATTTGCAAGAGTTTCGCGGATTGAGGGCGATCGGTTTTCGAAATGTGGCTCTCGCTTTAGCGCCGCGCACACTCGTCTTAGACATGTGCGAGAGGTTCACGGATTGAGGGTGGTCGGTTTTCAAAATGCGGCTTTCGGCTCAGCGCCGCGCACATTCGTTTTCAACATTGCACGAGTTTTGCGGCATCCCCTGGCCAGAGCACCAGAAATTGTGTTTTGGAAGGATTCAGGTTTGTGAGGGTGCAACGCAGGCCTCGGAAAACAATAGCGAACACTCATGCCACATCCATTTGTTAACGCCTCCCCCTCCCCCCAATGTTCAAAGTTGGCGGTGGGTCTTATGAGTTTGCACCTCGACCGCGGTCTCCCCCGCGCGTGCCAACCTTGAGTTCGGGGGGCAGGGGGAGTGTTCAGTAATCGTTTCCCTCCACCGCAGTTGCGTTGGTTCGTGGTGCTGAAGTCACAGGAATGTGTTCTAGCACGATTCACGATCGTCAAGGCGCAACAGTCAGACGATCCGTAGCTAGGGAACCACATGCGAACCCCACCCCTACCCCCCACGATTTCTGAGGGGGAGGGTGGGGTTCACTCCGTTCGGGAGCTCCCGAGCGAAGTGAACCCTACCCTCCCCCTCAGAAGTCGTGGGGGGCAGGGGTAGGGTTCGCATGTGGCCCCCTAGTAGCATTAGAGTCCCGAGAACGGTGTTTCGGCACGCCTCTGGGTCTTCAAACGGTGGTCTCCCAACGAGGCAGTTCCTCCAGTGGAAACGAGTCCTTGTAGGGACCTGCGACGAGGGAGCTTGGAGTGAGGGTTTATTCCAACATCGTCGACGAGTCTTGGCTTTTCACTGGTCCTCCTCCTCCTCCTCCTCCTTCTCCCTCTCCTCCTCTTTTCGCTCCTCGTGCTCCTCCGCTGGGACCAATCGGGCTGGACTTCCCGGTTTAACCCGGCGGGGACGCGGGATCCCAAAATCATTTGGAATGTAGCGGACGAACTTTCGCGCAGTCTCGGCTGCAGAGGCAGACTTGGAGAGGCTTGCCCCTGAGCGCTTGTGATGCCGGGGAGTCTCCGCCTCCAACGGGCGTGTCATCATCATCATCATCATCATCATCATCATCATCATCATCATCATCATCATCATCATCATCATCATCATCATCATCATCATCATCATCATTCATCATCATCATCATCATCATCATCATCATCATCATCATCATCATCATCATCATCATCATCATCATCATCATCATCATCATCATCATCTCATCATCATCATCATCATCATCATCATCATCATCATCATCATCATCATCATCATCATCATCATCATCATCATCATCATCATCATCATCATCATCATCATCATCATCATCATCATCATCATCATCATCATCATCATCATCATTATCATCATCATCATCGTGCTCCTCCTCCTCCTCCTCCTCCTCCTCCCTCTCCTCCTCCTCCTCCTCCTTCTCCTCCTCCTTCTCCTTCTCCTCCTCTTTTCGCTCCTCGTGCTCCTCGTGCTCCTCCCCTCTTCCTGTTCATCCCCGCCCCACCTCTACGAACGAGGGCCGCGGCTCTCAAGACGGCACGCCGCTGCGACGGCGGCCAGGCGCCCTCGACGGGCTGTTGCGGCCTCGTCTCGGCCGCTCCAACAACGGGGGATCGCTCCGCGCACGCCTCTGCCGACCAGGAGGGGTGCAGGGCCCATGCCGATCCGATCGATCCGAGGCGACACTGTCTCTGCTACCTGCCCGACCCGATCCGATTCTGCTGCTCCGACGATCCGACGCAGCCCTCCTCCTCCTCCTCCTCCTCCTCCTCCTCCTCCTACTCCTCCTCCTCCTCCTCCTCTCCCTCCTCCTCCTCCTCCCCCTCCTCCCCCCCCCCTCCTCATCATCTCCTCCCCCTCCTCTCCTCACTCCTCCTCCTCCTCTCCTCTCTCGTCCTCCTCCTCCTCCTATCTCCCCCGTTCCGATTGTCCGATTCGATGCTGACTGATCTTTGGACGGTGACCCTAGGCCTCCCAGGTGGGGCTGGAGTAGATGTGGTCGGAGATTGTGCATCTTCGCCGATGCAGCGCCGATCTGGCTCGATGCGGAGCTCGCTCTTGTCTTCACGCCGACGACGCCGATGCATCGCCGACGTCGCCGGTGCATCGCCGATGCATCGGTGATGCATCGACGGTGCGGCGCGATCTTCCCGATGCATCGGTGATGCATCGACGGTGCGGCGCGATCTTCCGACCCCGTCGAGGCCTCTGCTGACAGGACAAGCGCAGGGCCTCCCTCCCTCCCTCCCCTCCCTCTCCCTCTCTCCCCCGTCCCCCAGCCCCCTTCCTCTTTATTGTAATTTCTTCTCTCTCCCCACTCTTCGCTCCTCCATCCCCCATCCCTCCTCGGCCCCCTCCCTCCCCCCTAGTCCCCGAGGTCGTGGCCGCCATAGCCAGGAGAGGTTCGCTCCCACCGGTACAGTTTTCCTCGCAACAGGCACCTTCCAGCCCAGGTTCAGGACGGCTCAGCTGAGCAGCCCTGGTGTGCAGCTGGGGCTCTGAGAGTACCGGGCTTCCGACGCGTTCCATGAGCGCAGCACGAGCCGGGAACAGGGGCCGCTGTCCGGCTGGGCGTTTGCCAGCCAGGAGGCGGTGGCTGGTCCCAGTGGCTTACGGTGGGCTCTGGCAGGGACGCGTGCGGCGTGGCGCCGCGGGCCGGCTCAGTGCACGCCGTCCCCGGCCTCGGGGGCAGCGCGCGCCCAGGCAGCCCCGGCGGGGGGACGGCGTGCTCAGAGGGGGCCCTCGCGGGGGGAGCGCCTCACAGGGACAGCGCGCCTTTCGGCGATGCCGCAAAATGTCGGTATCGTGTAGCCGATCCCCATCCCCATCCCCATCCCCTTCGAGACCCCTGCCGAATTACCACCCCAGTTGGGGGTACACCCCTCGAAACCCGAAGGGAACGACCCATATCCCCATCTAGGGGGGTAACTCGGCCAGTGGGGCCCAGGCCACGCCGCTGGGGATGGGGATCGGTTGAACGATACTCAAAATGCCTCCCCCCCACCCTCCGCCGAGGACCTGGCCCGGATGCACCGCATGTTCTCCCTGGTGGACAACGGCCTGAACCCCATCGCGCAGGACGGCTCGGGCCTCGCCCTCACTCGGTGCGCTCTCCACTCTGCCGGTCGCGCCAGGGCGAGGGAGAATGGCGCGCCTTGGGCGGCTCTAGGGGCGACTTCTCCTCCTTGCTTCCTCCTTTCCTCCTCCTTTCCTCCTCCTCCTCCTCCTCCTCCTCCTTTCCTCCTCCTCCTCCTCCTCCTCAGGGGCTCGGGGGGCATTTCGTCCGCTGCCGGATGTTTTCCAGCCTCGGGGTGCTTTTCAGCGGCTGCGCCTTGCCGACAGTGTTCTGGGGGTGTCCAGATCGCACCGCACAGCCACCTGAGACCCGAGTTGCCACTCGAAACCGAGGGGCAACGTTCGGGGGGGTTGGATAGGCCCAGGGGGAGGGTACATCGACCCCAAATCGCTCCTTCATCGCCGACATGGGCCCGATAGCCCCGCTCCGCCCAGGAATGTGCGGACTCGCCATCGGGGACATACCGCTGGCGATGCATCACCAGTTCCCGCCAATTTTGGCCAATTTCGATGTATCGGCGATGCATCTAAGCTGCCCCCCCCACCCACACGTTGCTCTTCAGAGAGAGGGGCAGTCGGGGGGGGGGGGTGAGAGGCACAGAGCGGAGCAGAGATACACGACAGAGGTGGTGCGGCAGGTTTGCGCGCGGCGACGATCTTCGCGCCAGGCGTTCGAGGTTTTAACGGGCGAAGAACGGTATAAAATGAACTTTTTCGCTGTCGGGGGCGCCTGTCCCTGGGCGGCTGGAAAGTTTATACCCCTACGGTGCCACCGTAAGAGTATACACTTTCCAGCCGCCCTGGGACATGCGCCGCCGACAGCGAACAAGTTTATGTTATACCGTTCTTCGCCCGTTAAAGGTTGGACGCCGCCAGTGGTTCGGCATCGAGCGAAGTCGAACGATCCGCGCCATGCGGAGGCCGAGATCGTTGGGGGCTGCATTCGGTCGACGCGGTGTCAGAAGCTGTCGTGCAGGTCGTCGCGGTGCGAACCTGCCGCATGGGGTCAGTCCAGGCTCCCCAAGCTGGGTCAGAGCAGATAGGTCAGGAGGGAAAGAAACACACAGACACAATGAATCCTCGATTTCCCAGAAAAGATGGGAACATATGGGAAGTGGGGGGAAGACAGACACCCAGAAAATATACGAAACTATAGGGAATATTTTTTTATTTGTGTGTATTTATTTGTGTGTCCTGGGGCCCCTTTAATAGGGTCGGAGGATCGTCCGCATCGACGATGCATCGGCGATCCAGCGCGATCTGCAGCAATCTTTCCCCCTCCCGTCGTCGCCGATGCATCGCCGACGCATCGGCGACGTCGTGCGACTCATTGACTCCGTCTACTCTGGCCCCATCTGGGAGGCTTCCAGGTCAGGAGAAGGGGGCGAATGGTCTGGAGGCAGCAAGCTGGACAGTTGGTACTCCTACGGTGGCACGTCGGAGTATAAACTTTCCAGCCGCCCTGGGACAGGCGTTCCCAATGGTGGAACACACATAGTTTGTACTGTTGTGCTCCCGCCAATGTCTTCGTGACCCAAAAGGGGGACAGCTGAAAGGGGGTGGTGCAATAGGTTTGGGGCAATCGTATTGCAAATGTATTGCGCCAGATAAGTGTATTGCATTGTACTGCACGCGAACATCTAGCAATATATTTGCGCCCGGAAATGTATTGCACATCCCAAATCTATTGCAGCATCACATCTATTGCACCATGTCTATTGCACTACCCCCTTTTCGCTGGACCCCCTTTCGGGCCAACCAGGTAAGGGCTGGGAGGAGAGGTCGGCCACTCGCAGAAGGGGGTATGAGGAGTGGGGAAGGCTTCTCAGAAGCACCCCTGCTTCTTAGAAGTCGTGGGCCTTGTCTATAGAAGTAGGGCCGGTGCCTTCTAAGGAGCAGCCCCCTTCTAAGAAGAAGCCTTCCCCTTTCCCCCTGCCCCGTTTGTGCGCGCCGCCAAAAGGGGGTCGAAGAAGAAGCATCGGCATAGCCTTAAGTCGGGCCTGTCCCTCTACAGGGGGAATATTCAAAAATAGTTAGAAAATAGTCATTTTTTTTTTTTTTTTTTTTTTTTTTTTGCATTTTAGGGGTATGTTTGTTGGAAATTTGTAATGTTTCGCCCAGCATCCCCCTGTAGGGGGACACGCCCGACTTACGCATAGCCATGGTCAACATCTCGGAGGCCCGTGCGGAGTTTTCTCGAATCGCTGCGCGGGGCCCCGCCCCCGGACGCGGCGCCTCCCGCCTATGCCGATCCGAGAGTGGCTCCAAGGCTTACGCAGAGTGGTCTTCCTCCGCTCGTGGCTGGGAGGGGAGGAGGAACTTGAATGCAGTCGCAACCGGGTTGTCAGGCGGCCGCACCTTCTCCCCCCTACCCCTTCCTCCGTCCCTCCTCCTCCTCCTCCTCCTCTTCCACCTCCTCCTTCTCTCCCGCTTCTCCTCCTTCTCCTCCTCCTCCTCCTCCTCCTCCTCCTCCTCCCACTCTTTCGCTCCTCCTCCTCCTCCTCCTCCTTTTCCTCTTCCTCCTCCTCTTCCTCCTCGTCTCCGGCTCCTCCTCCTCCTCCTCCTCCCCAGGTGGAGGCTGCTCGACTTCACTGGAGATGGAGTGGGGGCGCAGGCGAGGGCTGGGCGCGCCCTTGCGGCCCAGGCCTTCCGCGCGTACGTCACCGACCGGGGAAACAAGATCGTGGACGAGCGCGTGGAGCAGGCGACGCGGACACGGGCTGGAGCTCGGCCCCGACTCGGCACCTCTCCCTCCTCCTCCTCCTCCTCCCTTCCTCCTCCTTCTCCTCCTCCTCCTCCTCCTCCTCCTCCTCCTCCTCCTCCTCCTCCTCCCCCTCCTCCTCCTCCTTCCCCTCCTCCTCGGCCCCGACTCGGCATCTCTCCCTCCACCTCTTTCGGGGAAGCGAAAACATCGATTAGGGCACGTGGATTCGCGACGGGTCCTTTTTCTGTGCGTACTCGGCGCGCCGCATCGCCAGA